TATTTATTAAATATCACGATCTTCGCACTTAAACCATAATTCAGTTCAAGAGCAATATTGCAAAATAGTTTTCAATTGAGCATAACTTTAGAATTTCCGATACAGAGTCTCGCGCGCTGGAGATAAAATGTTTTTCTGTATAACGTTGCCATTGCTGGCTTTGAAATCCTTGAGTTTGTTAATCAAAAATTCGTTAAAGTTTTACAAAATATGAAATCGATAATAAAACAAATTCCAAATTTCAAAATTCGGCTTCCACATGCCCATATTCGTAGTAGGATTCCGTCATTCAAAATTCGATGGCTCTATGTACGTTTGTTTTATCACAATGCGAGAAATATACATACATTTATGCAGATTTTTCATTATTTAATTTCTTCAAATATAACGCAGGACTCTAACATTGGGTGGCAACAGTTTGAAAAGTGAAACGGACATTTATAGTGAAACAACGCACAATCGCAAAACGAAAACAATAGTCCTTCAGGGACAAAGCCACTTTGGACTAAAAATTCTATATCTCCCGTTCTACTGCGCCGAAATTCAACTTTCGTTTTTCCTGTCTCGAAAGCGCGACTTATGATATATGTTAGATTTATATATAACATTGTTCTAATATAAGGATTTTGACACAAAATCGGACCTTTTCTGAAATAACATGCCAATTTTTTTTTCCATACTTCTCTTCTACGACTCAAATTACGCCAAACTGCCTTGTTTTATAAAAATCGCAAGAGTAGTTTTTAAAAAATTAGCTCTCAAAATTTTAGTTCCTTAATTTTAATTGAATTTAATATATATTTATTAATATTCTTTTCTTTTTTTTAATTAAACTTTCTTGATTCCTTCTTCTAGAATTCGAAATTTAGGTTCATTCCAAATAAAACTGGCCTATTTTACATAATTTATTTTTTAAATAATTTTTATAAATTTTTGGGAAAAAATTTGAATTATAACCTATAAAATGTTTGCCATCATCTTAAGTACATGTATTTCTAAGCATACCTGCAAAAGATTAGAGTTTCGTATTCAAAATTTCCTAAGATATACGTAAATTTTCATTTTGGCGCCTTTTGAAATTTGGCGTATTTATTATAAGCGATAATAACGAAAATGTTGTGTACGTACTTTATTAAAATTATTTGAAAGTACGAACGATGCTTTTTCCCCCAGCTCGAGCACAAAGAAAAAAAAAAAAAAAAAAGGCAAAAGTAAATAGGTTACTATAAATTAAGAAGTTCGCCAAGTGAATTATTCTTGGCGCAACTGAAAAAAATTCGCCAAGATAAATTTTTAAATTCCTCCATAAATTTGTCGCCGAAAGCTAAAAAATTTAATATCTAGCCATAATTTGGGTCGTAGAATCGAAATATGGAAAAAAAAATTGCTATATTAATTCAGAAAAAGTCCGATTTTGTGTTAAAATACCTATGTTAGAACAATTGTTATATATAAATCTAATATATATATATACTAAGTCGCGTTTTCGATACATGGAAAAAAATTTGAATTTCGTGAATCGGCCCAGTAGAACGGAAGATATAGAACTGCCTCTTTTTTGCTCAGTGTACATACAAGTTTGTGTGTAACGTGTATACGAGCCAGTTTCCCTTAGAAAGTCCTCCACGAAGGCATCCATCCCCTTAAGCAGATAGCCCTCGAGGCTTTGCCATAATTCAAACACCACACATAAAAGTTTGACTTCAAGTGCTCAAAGGTAAGTGTAACTTCAGTTTGCTGCTTCTCGTTTTGTTTATCGCAAACAATTTCTCTTCTTGTTTTATTTCTCATGAGCGTGGGCCCACCAGCGGCCGAGCGGTAAAATCGCTGAACACTGGTAGTTCGGTCCGAGGTTCGAATCCCGCGAACGGGCTGGCTGCATGGGCGTTTTCGTGGTTTTCCTCATATATAACGTGTATACGAGCCAGTTTCCCTTAAAAAGTCCTCCACGAAGGCATCTCAGGCAGATAGCCTTCGAGGTTTTGCCATAATCACACATACATACATAAGCGTGGACCGACCTGATAAATTGAAAAAAATTATGGTTTATATATTTGACACTGCAATTAAATTAATGAAAAATTTAATAAATAAATAAATAAAAACTTACAGATTTGAAAACGCAATTAGATTAATAGATTTCGTTACTTATGCTTATTATTCGCGACATAAAACTGTAGATAAATTCTGCAAACAGAATTATTTAATCTATTATTCCCATTAGACTGTGCGAGATAAATTATTTTTGTCCTTTCAATGCATTAATTATTACATCCATTTAAAATAAAAGTTTCTTTCGCAAACACCTTTTTTTTAATTGTGTTTATTTTATATTTCTTAATCTCAATTACTCGCTGTCAATGATCAAAAGTTTAGTCATTATTCAACTACAAGCAACAAGTTATAAGCAAATCATGAAATAAAGAAATATAATTGAACATCACTCAGCCAATGAAGAAATCGCTTTGAATATACATTTTCGAAAATTGGATGTAATAACACTTCTACATCAAACGTTTAACTTAAAACTAAAATGAAAAAGTGAATGTCGCAGATATGTTATTAAATGCTCCAAGATTTCTCGCGAGAAACTCTACTTCTCCCTTCTGCAATACATGTTTTTAAAAATATAGAAAATGTCTCAATTAATGTCTTTTATCATTTTGTTTCAAAAGAAGGAGAAATGCTTGTTGTATAATGAGTGAAAATTTCAAAACTTTGTATCCGACACATTTTAGATATTACAATTTTAAAATCATAAAACATAAAATTGTCTTAAAATAATCCAGCGGTTTTCAAAAATTCGTCAAAAATTAGAAAATTAAGTTAAAGTTTTTATATAAGTTTCTTTCTTTTTTTGGCTCTATTTCATGGTGCAAACAATAAAAGTTTTATACAATTAATTTGTTTTTAAACGAAGATACATGCAAAAAATTGTTTAAGCAGTAAATAAAAAATATAAAACTAAATTTGAAAACTCTTTTCTCCATTGCATTGTCATCGACTAGCAATGTATCTACACAATTTGAAATCGATAGCTTATCAGGAAGTGGGTTAAAATCGATGATAAATTTCCACTTACCTTCAAACATCATGAATGAACTAAAGAAAAGCTTCTCATAAATTATGTACGTGTCAAAAATACATTTTCCTGAGATATTTCATGATATAGAAGCAGCAGAAAATTTAATTATTGTTATGTGGATAAAATAAAACTCTACTGTAACTTCTTAAATATCCTTAAAAGATAATAACATTTCAAAACACTTTTACAGCCAATAGCCATTTTACGCAAGAATTTAGGTCTACGTCATGTTCGTGGCATTTTTACTCAGGAAATCTTTCCCTGATCATACAGCAAATAATAATAATAATAATAAAATCTGAAAGGTTTCAGATTTAAAATAACGTCCAAAGGGACTTTTTATTTTGAGTGTTACCTTTATTTATTAAATATCATGTTCTTCGCACTTAACCCATAAAATTCAGTTCAACAGCAATATCGAAAAATAATTTAAAACTAATAATATGTTTAGAATTTCCGATACACAGTCTCACGCGCTGGAGATAAAAATGTATTTTCTGTACAACATTGCCATGGCTCGCTTTGAAATCTTTGAGTTTGCGAATAAAAAATTCGTTAAAAGTTTACAAAATAAGTAATCGATAATTAAGACACAATAATACGAAGAACAAATACTAATTCAGAAGTCAAACAACAAAAATCAGCGTCATATTTTCAAAATTTTCACAGGACTAGTTTCGATGGTTTTACCGAACCACCATCCTCAGCTGCAAAACCGCAAATGAACAAGATAGGAAATAATATTTTCTTATGTTAGAAAAAAAGAAACACATAAGTCTTCTGTTGCTCAACATTGTTGGTCCGAAAATCACACTTTCAATTTTTCTGCTGCCAAAATTATTCAAAAAACATCTTCCATTGGAGAACTGGATTTTCTAGAGGCATTTCACATTAAAAAAAATCTTTCTGTTCTAGTTAACGATCCTAACTGGACACAAACATTTTTTTTTTCTGTACAACGTTGCCATTGCTCGCTTTGAAATCCTTGAGTTTGCTAATTAAAATTTTGTTAAAGTTTTATAAAATATGAAATCGATAATAAAACAAATTCCAAATTTCAAATTTGGGCTTCCACATGCCCATATTCGCAATAGGATTACGTTATTCAAAATTGGATGGCTCTATGTACCATTGTTTTATCACAGTACAAGAAGCATACATACATTTATGCAGATTCTTCATTATTTAATTTGTTTAAATATAACACAGAGCGATAATTTTCGGTGGCAACAATTTGAAAAGTAAAACAAGGTTTGTAGTGAATCGACGCAAAATACCAAAGCGAAATTAATAGTCCTTCTGGACAATAATAATTTATTGTTACCTAAATGTCTATTTCAAAGTACGTAAGTGGTATTAGAAAATTTCGTGTTAACAGAATAATGATGCATAAATTCATAAAAATTACCAGTCCATTTTATTATTACTATATTAAATGTATTTAGATGTATCGCTTAAAAATGAAGAAATAAATTATTCAGAAATTCATTTATATCGTCCGGTTAAACAACTACAGTTATAATTTGAAAGATAAAGATCTTATGTCACGGGGAATGGTAACACTTAAAACTGGCTATTTGTAAAGCCACGTGGATTATAAATGCCTTGATGGCTTAACGCAGCATTATTACCCCCTTCCCAAACTAGAAAGACTTTTTTATCGACTTATCGTTTAAAGACTTTTTTAATTTAGACATTTTTATCGCCAATTTTTTTATTGAGTAACAAGGAGTTTTATTCAAAATATTATTAGTAGTATAATTTCACTAATCATTGTTAAGAAAATATAGCAATAGCTCTCAAATATGCCATTGTTTAGATGGAAGTAATATTGCTACTCCTCTAAAGGATGTTTCATTACGCAAATTGAGCAAATACATCTAATATCATAAGACATGTATCAAAAATCACTTACATAACTCCTGACATCACTTGCACTTTTCGAATGAAAGTGACGAATGAAAAATGAATACAAAATCAATTAAACTGATATTAATGCTATTCTAATATTGATATTTAAATTTAGTTGAATTTTATAAGATCAAACTCAGCTCTAAACTAAACCGCTTAGAAGCCACTTATCTCAATTTATCTTACTTTTTTTATCTATTCGAATTTGCTCAATAGATGACATGTCTTGGTTTGAAATGTTCGCCAGCTGTCCCATTTCCCGTTTTTTCATATTTATTGTTATTTCACACTGAAGTAACGAATTTTAGAAAACGCCAAACTATACAAGGGTTATTAATTTAGAAGTTAAACAACAAAAATCAGCGTTATATTTTCAAATTAACCATCGAAACTAGTCCTGTAAAAATTTGAAAATATATCGCTGATTTTTGTTGTTTGACTTCTAAATTAATATTTGTTCGGCATGTTATTGTATCTTAAGTATACAAGGGTTAATTCATTGCGCAGTCCAAACATGCAATATAAAATATACGCTAATAAAAATACGATATTCTTGAAGTTATATAGCAGTTTAACATGGCAGTGTCATTTGTTATCTGAGCATCACACAGAGAATGGCTTTCAATATTGGAAACTGGGTGTAATAACAATATTTCAACGAGCATTTTGAAGCTAACATAAAAAAATCTGATGTGTACACCATTAGATTTTTTATTGATATATAATCGTTATAAGAATATCGTTGATAATTCTAGAACTATTGCATGCAGATTCATTTGAGGCATAAAAACCTTAACCGGAACAGAAAAACAATATCATTCAATCACTTTTAAAGCAAAAAATGCATAGTTTAGAAACATATAAGAATAAAAAAACTGAGTTCACCGAGCAGGGTAACAAAGTGGATATATATACATGATTCTGGTGCAGCCAATTGTAGCCAAAAAGGGAGGTGCACAACTACGCTTACACGAAAATTTCAACGTTCTGATGCTACTTGTTTTTGAGTTATGCAACATACGCACAGACGTCATAAAAAATAATCTTTTTCCGAATCCATTTTACAAACCTGTTTTGGGGAAAGAGTCCTTTATTCTGTTCGTTTGAGCAGATGTCACGCGAAAGCATCGCTCTAATGGATTCGAAAGCAGTCAAAATGGATATTTTCGTTGAAATATAATACCTGAAAATTTTCGCGATTACTATTCTTCCTTTACTTCTTACAAGAAAGAAAAAACAGGATATCCAATTTAATCATTAAATGGTCCAAAATAGCAAACTCGAAAGCAATTTTTCCGCAAGAAAAGTTTTTTTTTCTTTCGTCTGTTTCGAACTACAATAGATGTCTTTAATCCGGACGTCCATAATCCGGAATGATCTATAATCCGGACTTCAAAGCTACAAACTTTCTGCGCATGCGCGTTTAATGTATAACGGATGGTATAAGCTAAGCTAAAATTATCTAATTATCTATTTCAGTTAATGTTGCAGATTCCGTTGTTCCTTAATCTTCGAATTGGATCCGGCTTATTATTTTTTGCAGACTGTTAGAGCAATTTTATAAAAAGTAAGCTTGAACTTTCGATTATGTCAAATAGAATTTCCGATTCTGGAACTGCCAAAGGATCTACAAAGCGAAACATGTTTCGATTTCCATCAAACAAAAAGTGGAATTGCCGCAAAAATTGGATAAAGGCATGAAGAAAGTGACAGAAAGTGTTTCTCTAACCATTCCGAAATCTGTTTATCAATTTCACGCTGCTCTGCGGGGGGGGGGACGTCGCGGCGTGCAATGAACTGGAAGTTGATCTGTCAGCACTATCCTCATGTTCAGGGCAGATGTTTTTATTTTATTCCGCTTATAATTCCTCACTAAATGTAGTGTTTCATTTCGATGTACTCCGATATAATTTAAATCAATTTCCTCGTCATTTTAAATATCAGTAATACACATCAAAATAGTTTTCTGGTTGCAATTTTCTAATTTCGACTATGCGTAATGTATGCTTTACGCGCTTTACGCATGCGCGCGTTGAAAGAAATGGTTAATAAAGTAAACAAATAAATATTAAGCCTTTTTTTTGGTAAATTTTGATACTCTTCATTGACGATATCATATTCATCGATATCATCATCTTCATTGACGATTTGATACTCTTCATTGATTATCTTCAGATCATAATAGCTTTTTATTTCATAAATTACGGTTTCATATTTTTAATTTTATAATTTCTGCATGCCATCTCACCAGATTTAAACTGATGATCTATAATCCGGAAAAATCTATAATCCGGACTCGTCGAAGTCCCGACGAGTCCGGATTAAAGACTTCTGACTGTATTCTATTTTAGAAGCAAGTATTCTTTTATTTTTATAGAGGTAAAATAATGATAGGAAATAAACCTGATGTCTTCCGAAATGTGTGTGTGTGTGATTATGGCAAAGCCTCGAGGGCTATCTGCGTAAGGGGAGGGATACCTTCGTGGAGGATTTCCTAACGGAAACTGGCTCGTATACACGTTACACAAGGGGAAAACCACGAAAACGCCCATGCAGCCAGCCCGTTCGCTGGATACGAACCTCGGACTGAACTACCAGTGTTCAGAGACTTTACCGCTGGGCCTGTCTTCCGAAATGAAAACTGGGGAATGGGACGGGCATTGAAATGAGTTAAAAAAATAGGCATCTCCTTGTTCAGGGCTGGAAGCACGAAATGTTTGGTTGCTTGAACATATTTGTGTGATAAGGGCTTTGCATTGTTCACACCAAAGCTGCAAAGGATATGAACAATAAATACGGCTGTTTACTAGTGTGCATTGAAGTAACATAACTACACATGATAAATGACCATATTATAACGAAGCGGTCAAGTTTTGGATCGTCAGTCCATTACGTTTTATTAATAAAAAGTGTAAACGTTTTACACCGTGTATTGAAAATGTGTACCTGTATGCTTTATTTTCTTAAAGAATGTTCATAGACATGTACTTCCAACTAAGATTCACTAAGTAAAGCATGGTTGGTTAAGATTAACCATAATTAAACATATGGAAAAGCACTCGAGGGATTTCTGCCTAAGGGGAAGGATGCCTTCGTGGAGGCACTTTCTAAGGACACGTTACACATGGAGAAACCACGAAAACGGCCATGCAGCCAGCCCGTTCATAGGAATTCGAACCCCGGACCAACTACCAGCGTTCGGTTGCTCTACCGCTCAGCCGTTGGTGGGCACGCAGTAGGAAAGCAGATAATTCCTTACATAGTTATGTTCCATAATTTAAAAATTTCAACATCTAAAAATGTATCGGATATAAAATTTTGAATTTTTTACTGGTTATAAATCGCCTCCTTTTAAAACAAAAATTATGAAAACGTTATTATTGTATTTTATTATTATTAACGTTATTATTGTATTGTTTCTAAATTTGTTTAAAAAATATGCCACAGTCTCAAGCAGAAGGGCATCATTGAAATACAATGACATTTTTTTTCCGGCTATCATGTTGCTTGCAGACATATTACTGTTCAAGGTTATGATGTCTTAAGTCACATGATTTTTATCACTTCAAGTACAGATATTTTCGCATTTATCTCAAAAATAAAAAATATTTGGAAAAAAAAAAAAAAAAAAAAAAAAAAAAAAAAAACAGAGTTTATTAGCAAATGATTAAAAGAAATTGATCTGTGAAAAAAATAATCGTTAAAGAAGACTAAATTAATTCAGTCATTAAAAATATAATCCTAAAAATTTTCAAAAATCAAAATCAATCTAACAGTGTTTTATTTGTTAAAAGAAAAAATAAAGATTGATTCCGCGAAGCTCTTTATCAAGGGAAGAAATTTAACTAAGTTCTTTTTGGTTTTCGTGATTTCCAATCAGCTAGAAATAGAAATTATTAACTTAAAAGAGATAAAAGATAATGAACGAAATTATTAATAAATTAACTTCCATTTGGTAGAAAGATACCCTTTAACTCTAATAGATGAAACATAATAAGTTTAATAATTAAAGAAAATCTGAGAGGTTTCAGATTTTAAATTACGTCCAAAGGGGCGTTTTTTTTAACATTTTGTGTGTTACCTTTATTTATTAAATATTATGTTCTTCGCACTTAAACCATAAAATTCAATTCAACAGCAATATCGCAGAATAATTTTAAAATGAGCATATCTTTAGAATTTCCGATACACAGTGTAGCGCGATGGAGATATTTTTTTTTTCGCCCGTACAATGTTGCCATTCCTCGCTTTGAAATCAATGAGCTTCTTAATCAACAATTTTTTAACGTCTGACAAAATATGAAATATATCATAAAACAAATTCCACATTAAAGCTTCCAGATGCTGATATTCGCTGGAGGATTACATTATTCAAAATTCGATGGCTCTAGGTACGTTGTTTTATCACAATGCGAGAAACATACTTACATTTAGGCAGATTCTTCATTATTTAATTTCTTTAAATATAACACAGGGCGATAACATTTGGTGGCAACAATTTGAAAAAGTGGACAGACATTTATAGTGAAACCGCAAAATGCCAAAACGAAATTAATAGCCCTTTTGGGCTAAAAAACATTTAAGAAGCTTTTATTTAAAACTTATAAAATAATTAATGAAATAGAATGAGAAAAAAAATTATCATGTAAGTTAATGGGAACTGTAGGTTAAACAATTCTCTTCACAGAATTCATCTACAGTTTTATACCACAAATAATAAAAGTGTGCGGCGCCCTTTATAAATTTATAAAGGTAGTAGTTTTATACTTTTGACAATACAATTAAATGAATAGATTTTGTTATTTCGGTCACTAAGATTTTATTATTCGTGATGTAAAATTGTAGATGAATTCTTTAAAGATAATTATTTAATCTTTTGTTCCCATTAAATTACATAATCGATTATTTTTTCTCATTCATTCTCATAGTTCATTAATTATTTTATGAGTTTTAAATAAAAGCTTATTTTTTAAAAACATTTTAGTATTTTCATTTTTCTTCTTAGTTCATTGATTATTTTATCTGTTTTTAAAAGAAGTTTATTTTATATTATATAAATGAATATATCTTGCTCATTTGGCCCTCGTGCTTTTATTACTCGTGATATAAAATTGCTGATAAATTCTGTAAAGGG